ATCCTGCCATTGAAGATGACGCCATTTCATACTATTTACGGAAGTGATGTCAGCATGCGGAAAGCGTGTGATCTACATATTAGGAAGAAAATTGCGATCGCTTTAATTCCATCAAAAACAGAAGGAAACAATAGGAGGAAAAACAATATCAAACCCAGGCCCTCAAAAGGGCCACTCTAGTCAATTATAGACATGGGAACACGATATATGTGTTGATAGGGGAGAAACAAAGGCTGGCCTACACCTGAGTATAGGCGTGCAGCAGGAGGTAAGAAGAGGAGGAACCTGCAGAGAGGAAGCCGGGAAAGGCTCAGGGTTGATAATTGCCCTGATATGAACAGTTTTCCCGGGAATACGCGGCCCAGTGGGGAAATCATGTAGGGAATCTTATGATGGAGACTTCCTTCCATCATCCGCGAGCAGATGAGGGGTTTCTGTCATTCGCTTAGACAGAAAAAATGCTCTCTCTTAGTCTTATTTGAATTGAAGTCAGATTCACTCACTTCCCTGATGATATTGTCCATATATCCGAGCTTGGTGAAGGTCACACAGATGTCACGGAGCTAGAAGCTATGACTGTAGTGGTTGTGCCCTACTCAGTGTCTGACTCTTCAAATGATTGACCTTCACCGGCCTACGTGGCGTTATGTCCCAGAAGATGCAACTCTGTACTGCGCGTCCTCTTTCATACACGCATGTTTTCCAGAGACTGTACCGTTTTATCCTGTATATAGCCTACAAGTTTCGCAGTTTTATGTAGCACATTCTCCCCAGAAACTGTTGAATTCCAAGAAAACCGAAACAATTCACAATTTTAGGCCTGGGGACTCGTGCCTAGGATCCATTTTTTAGGAGCTGCAATGTCTATATTAACCAACCACCGCCATGTAATGGATAAATTCTTAAATACCGAAAAATGATGAAGCTATCCCTGTAATAGTCCGTGGAGGCCCATAGGAATGTGAGACGTTGAGGCTCCAACCTTTTGTCTAGACAATCGGCTCACAGATGGCGAAGGTGCTAGCTAGGCGCGGAAACATGCATGCAGATAAACAGCCGATGTTCTAAAAATCGGTTTTCCTTATTCCTGGCTGCTAAAATGTATAACTTCCTCCAAATATCGACATAACTTCTCCGATGATCGCAGTACGTTCTCATAATACGCATGTGATAAAACAAAAAGATGTAGAAGATGATGAAATTAAAGGAGGAAGAAGAGTAGAAAGAGAAACATAGAAGAATTAGATAAAATAGACATAAAAAGAGGTAAAAGTGTTTGTTTATGTCATTTCTGTTAGTGTAAGGATATCGTCAAAGCCTATCAAATATTTTGCAGTGGACGATTTAAGTCTGAAGTGCATGAAATCGGCTTCAGCGATTTCTTCCCCTTTTATATAACCGTATTCGTGATTCCGAATTTAATATTTTCACTTCGTCCCTTTTAAATGTATTTTTCAACGATCATGAAGCGTTCATTGACATTTGCACTGGCTTACGTGGTAATGCGCTACATTTTTACCACCTGCAGCCTGAATGTGTGACGTCCTTCCTGCATTATTATGCTGTGTAGATTTGCTGATCCCCTGTCTGTTCAGGGATTTTCAGGCGGACATGGAAACTTGTTTGCAGTCGTAATGGAAGTTTGGTGTTCTTTTCTATTAGGAGGTCCACCTCTCCGAGTTCAAAATCTAATTAATGTGACTTCTAAAGGTGGGAATTAATCCAGGGCGAAATGAGAGAAGAATTGTACCTTATAAGGAAGCTGGTTGTTAAAGTGTTTGAATATTTATAAATTAATGGGATGTAGTTGAATACTAGTGGTTAGTCGAATATTTAAAATGGGCAAGATTCATATCAGGCATAGAGTTATGACAAAGTTACTCTTAGCTTATCTCAATAAAAAGGTAAAGCCGTCCCTGTAACCGGTCGTGAAGGCCCATAGGGTTGTGAGACAACGAGGCTTCCACGTTTTCTCTAGACAATCGGCTCACAAATATTTGTGAACTTGTGAGCTTTACGCACCGGCCGTCCTTTACTCCTCTCAGGATGATTCCTGGTACTCATTTCTGTTAGAGGCTGAGTCGACATAATTTCGAAACAGTTAATTAGGACGGAAATTTTTACATCAAATAATTACCGGTAAGATATTAATATCAATGGTATTCATTTATCCATAAATATACGAGTAAAATAAAATGTTATAAGTTGCTTAATTCTGTGTATAGTAATATGTATAATGCAAATAAGAATATGTTGGATTTAAAATATTCTAATGGAAGGCTTTATTCATTTTAATTCATTATCTGCCATGGGAAAAAGTGCGAGGGAATAGAGACACGAAACTCAGCCGCCTCTGAATAATTCCCTCAAGTTTTGAGCAATTCAGAGAGGCATCTTGTGCATATTTCTCTATGAGAATTCACTCACAGTGAGTTGGAAACTTGTTCCAGATATTTCACTTCTGTCTTAACTATTTGTAGGGGCTCCGCCACTTGTTAACATGTAAATTAACTCCATTACATTGTCCATGTTCATCTGGTTTAGTAACTAGGAAAGAAAGTTATTTAAACTTTATCTTGTCCGATTTGTTTCATCGTGGTCCGTCACACTAACAATATTAAGAAAGCTTAATTAATTCCTTCCAGTGTGACTGATGGAGTTTTTTCTCCTTTTTAATATTTTATCTTTAACAGGTTTCGGTTTTATAGACCATTTTCAGAAGGATATAAATACAATTAGAAACCACTATTACAACATACATATACATATGTATACATACAAAAAATTAAAAAGGAGAAAAACTCCATCAGTCACATTGGACGGAATTAATTAACCTTTCATAATTCCCCTTGTCTCTCCATAGATGGGACATCAACCTTTTTACCTACAACCGCCACAGTGACGGCTTAATTCTGTTCAATTTACTTCTTAAAATAGAAGCTGATAAAGTGTATATAGGCCGCGCCATAGCTCAAGCTGTTAGTCCCTGGCTTCCCACCGCGGCGGCCCGGGTTCGATCCAGGTCTGATCAAGTGGGATTTGTGGTGGACAAAGTAACGCTGGGGCAGGTATTCTCCTAGTACTTCGGTTTCCCCTGCCAATCTTCATTCCACCAATTGCTCCGCAATCACCCTCACCTATCATCTGGGGCTGGTACAATAGGCCACAAGTGGCCGCAGTACATGCACTTAATCCCACCCCACTAGCAATAAAAGAAAATGTATATACATTTTTTGGAACACTGCATATGGTGTTTTATGGAATGTTTTACATTACCAACCAATATAAACAATTTACAGAATATGGTATATTCTCTGAGATTAAGAAACAAATGTAGCAGGTCTACCATATATTTACTGTAGGATATGTAGGATACCAGTAGTGGCAACATTAAGATTAAACTCATTCATTTTCCAGTGCATCATATGAATTTCATGCTTCGTTGGCGTCTTAATTCAGTAAAGTCATGCCATCCGTTCCTGAATCTGAAGAATCCGGTCAACATCTTCATACCACATGTCTCTCATTAAACTGATTTTAATATTATTCTTAACATTATATAGTTCTTCAAATCTATCCATCTTTCATTTGCATTTTCTTCCCTCCTGAACTACATTAATGCCATGGGGAGCCAAGTTCACAAAATTAAAAAGGAATAATTCTAAAAAATATATATGAATTCCAATTTTAATTTTATTTTACTGTTGCAACATTTGTGTGTACATATATGTATAAAGATAAAGGCTGTTACCTTATTTGTATTACATTAATTTTTTAATAAATGATGTGACATGCGCGGTGACGTCTTGCAACAGTAGAGGAAAGGTGTTTCTTGTGTGGTCTGCGTCACGCAACAATAGAGGGGCTGTTTTTTGTGCGCAGTCCGTGCCGGGAGGATATAAGTGAATACCCGAGAGGGACTTCACTTCACTTCACTTCACTTCACTTGAGCTCCGAAATTCCAAGGGAACAACAGTGTGGCCAGTAGCAGAATTAGAAGACTTATTTTGTGACGTTACATGTGCTGTAGTACAGTGATATTGGGAGTGAGTAATGAAACACGTGACAGGAACAAAAACGCGATGAAAGGAAAGATGACATGAAAACTGGTACATATGATGTTTCTACTACTCTTCCGAACAAACAGGCTTTCAGCTTGTGCCACTTCGGATGTATCTGAAATAAACTACTTCTTGGATAAAAAATCCGCGCTCTCCAAATTGAAAACGTAAGCCCTTGTAATATGCTAGCCATTGGAAACACAGCGGTTTAATTACAACACTTGGAGGCAGCCAGCTGTGCTCTTGTGTCATAAATACACTGCAAGTTAATTTACATAACACAACTTGACATTTCATGTGCTTTAGATGGACTTCTGGATGAGTTTCGCCTTCATGGGAACCTGCAGCTGTCAACAGAAGCCAGAAAACGTATCGCAAATGGAATTGTCAAAGTGGTACACTTATCTACTTTGAGAAGTGCAAATAACTACTTCACTCTGATTTGTCTTCGCAACGAAAAGAGTGGAGAGGCAGCAACCATTTCCCAGCCCGTTTTTCTCAATTTAGAAGTATCATAAACTTCATTGTTTAAATGTGCCTCGCAGCGGAAGTTCGGAATATAAACTTATAATGCACGCTTAGGGCCTATTTTTCTCCTTTCGTGTTTGTTATGACGCATTATTCTTCAATGAGATTTATCTGACACGAATGATAGCGAGTTGTATGCCCTTTACAAAATCACGGATAATCTAAATGAATGATAGGGAATGCTGTTATGTGTGCCTTTTATAAAAGACTGACTACGTGGAAGATAACGATTATGTCATGAACCATTTATTAGCATATATATATATGTGAGAAGCTGTTTTAGTGAGACGTGTCAAATGAAGGGCCTACGTCGCGTATGGTACAACTGCTGTATGGCCCTACACGTCCTTTTTTCGAAAGGCGGACGTCATGTTGCGAAGACTGTTGTGAAAGGTGGCCTTCTTGTTACAGGCTATCCGGAAGATGGTGCGGGAGTGGCTCAGAGGGACCCATCAGCCGGGAGACACAGGATAAATTTCCGGGGCGTCCACACCATGGGCACGTTCTGTTGGACTGCGCAAATCTGGCTCCTCATGGCGGCGGCAGCAGCGGCAGCGGCAGGTTAGCTTTACATATTGAAGAGTTAGGCATTCACCTCGTTTAGCTGCACTGTTGTTGCTATTGTTGTTGAAATCATCCTCTAAATTCCAACAACAACAACAACAACAACAACATGTGGTTCGGCGAAGTTAACGTAGTCATTACAAAGCCGATGAATTATCTCATTTCTTCCAGATAATGTCCCCCTCTTTTTGGTCCCAACTAATGGTACTTGGCTTTGAAAGCGAAAGTTCTATATTTATCAGATATCCTCTGCGATACAAAGAAAACTAAAAACATTAAAAATTTTACTTTTTAAGTTCCTGGAGGAAATTAATGACACATGTTTTCCTTCCAGTCAGTATGTAAGAGCTAGCAAGAGCCGTAAGTTAACTGTTGTAAGGTTTAGTGACATATTTTTTCGATGTTTTTATTACAGTAAAATAGCGATATAAAACGAAATCATATATCACGTCTGTACATCCAAGAGCCTGCAATACTCATTATCACAGCAAGAAGAAAAGGTACAGACACCAACATTTGTAACTTTTCGAAGAATAGATGACTCATCAGTAAAACTTCTGAGACACGAAACTGCAGAAGCACATGAAAGTAAAGATTAATCAAACGCTCCAGCTGTACCGACTCTCGTGTGTACCCATGAGACTGAAAACGGGACGTGAAAACAAAAGACCAGAAATGCAGTTCATGAAACAAACGGCAAAATACGTAGACTTGGGTGGACCATAAAATAAATTAGTGTATTAGAGTAATTAAAACAGGATCCGTAATGGAAAAATTTCTAAATATAAATCCAACTGGATTCGTCATGTCGGAGAAACGGACTCCCGAAATTATTAAACATTAGCAGACACAAGGATTAAGAAATCGAGGAATCCTTGGACGAACAGGACCGTGACCAACTCTCTGACAGCTAGGTGATGATGAATGTCACTTATTTCACGTCGAAATGTAGGAAGAGCGTGAATTCTGAAAGGATAAAGTCGTAAGATTAACCGAGATTAAATTTAAAACTTTATCCAAACTTGTTTACATAGTTTTCCGTCAATAATGCAACTGTTTATTTGTTTATTTTTTCCCCCCTTGGCACTACAGCCCCAGTGGGCCTAGGCCTACCTCCATGAACTCCGTTCACTTCGGTTTTTCTAGATCTAACACATACGGTAGGATTCCTTGGGCGACTGATCAGCTCGTCGCAAGGCGACAAACACAGATAAATGCACACAAACATCCATGCCCTGAGTGGGATTCGAACCTACGATTCCGGCTTCCGAGCGAGCGAAGACAGTGCATGCCTTAGAACGCTCGGCTACCGTGACCGGCGTTTATTTATTTACAATCTCGTATGTAAACATCCGGTTTCATTACATACAATTTTCCGGAGAATTGTTTGTAACACTCCGTGATTTCAGTCCGCAAGCGAACTATAGCGACCGAGCACCCGCCGCTTCTCGGCGAAGTTTTAGTGCCAACTTTTTGCAGAGGGAGGGTGTCGCGTGGTCAGCGCAACGAATCCCGACGGCCGTTAATTTCGGTTTTCTAAACCGGAGCCGCTATTTCCTTGAAATAGCTCCTCAGTTATCATCACGAGGCTGAGTGGACCCCGTTCCAGGCCCACTACTTCTCCGAAAAAATCTGGTAGCGCCGGGAATCGAACCCGGACCTCTGGATCTTGTTTGTAAATAAGGTTGAATTTAGTAATGAAACAGGATGATTAAATAAAAAAATATCCAAGCGTTTGTTCAGAGAAAACGAATTTCGATGAAGATTAAGTCAGGTCACACTAGTGGCCGCGCCGTAGCTCAAGCGGATAGTAGCTGGCTTCCCACCGCGGCGGCCTGGGTTCAATCCAGGGTCTGGTCAAGTGGGATTTGTGGTGGACAAAGTGGCGCTGGGGAGGGTTTTCTCCGAGTACTTCGGTTCCCCCTGCCAATCATCATTCCACCAAATTCTCCATCATAATCACCCGGGGCAGGCTACAATAGACCAATCAGTAGCCGCCGTGCCGAGTGGACCCAGTTGGACTCCACCACCCACTAAGCGAATTAAAAAAAGTCAGGTCAAGCTAACATTTTAACCTAGGTTCTTCATAAGAAGACATTTGAAAGTGTAAATATGGTATCCGAGGTTTCTACGACAAAGGAAGTTCTTATTGTAGTATAATTTGTTAGGAAATCATGAAGTCCAATAGGTCATTATCAACGTTTCGGAGAAATATTTTGCTTCCCTGTTCATTTATACTGTCACGTTTTGGGTGTATAACGCGACAAATAAGTTCACGCCGTTCTTTGATATAGCGAGTTTATTCCATTCGCTCGCCTTACACACACTTTACAAACATTTGCCCTTGCAGTGTTACAATCACTGCTCACAATATTCCGGCCGACACTGGGCTCTCCTCTCTGGCGGTTATTCTAGGACTTACTACTTCGAAGGCTCGATCACGACTGACTTCTTAGATGGCTCGATGAAGACTGACTTCTAAGATGGCTATTCCAGGACTGAAGACTTCTCGTCGAAGCTGGGCTTTTATAACCTTGGCCGCTGCTAGGCAAATGAATCCTCTGTTATAGCAGTGGAAACTTTGCTTTGTCGGTTCCGCGTTTCCTACGCAATGACCCATTATTATCGCGTTGTCTCTGTGGGAACGCTTCGCGTACTGTCGTAACCGTGGAGATTCGGTGTTGGAACTACAAGAGAGCGATTGTTGTTTATTATGCAACGGTCTATGCTGGCGTTTCCACAGAAGTGACTCTTCTGGATTGCCGACACGTTACAATACATATCTATGATGTTCTTCCGAAATATTCGTGACCACCTAAAACAGTACACGGTATCAGAAACCAACAGGACACACTCTGAATGCGAATAATCTGAAGAAATGTGGGAAAGAAGTAGGTAATGACATCTGGTGTCGAATGAGAGTAATTATGGGTGATGAATTGGAAGAAAAGTGGAAGGAAGAGACTGTAGACTATTTTGAGACACTACCCAAACATTTGCCTCAGAAACCGAGGAAAACAATGAAAATGTTTAGTCTTGATAGCTGACTTCAGAATGAGAGAGAATATTGCGCCGTACCTTCTGGATACATAGCTGTATTGCTAACCACATTTCCGTAACAATCAGTTTTAAGATTACCGTTTGTTTCTGGTACGTCTTCAACTTCCCCACAGCGTCCAGACCAGCTCTGCGGCTCACGCATTCTCCTATCCAGCGAATAGCGAGGGCTCTTTCCCCGGTCGTAAAGCGGCCGGAGCCTGAAGATGACCATTCTCCTCCAACTAGTACCGTGGTCCAGGAAAGATGGTTCTGTAAGTCGACTCCCCATACGCCTTAATGGCGTAGTGCTTAATTAGTTAAGCACAGGGACAACTTTACTTTTACGCCTCCCGTTCCAGGGTTTAGCTGGAACTCGTGTTTTTGTTAAATATTAATTGTAGATCTAATTTCGTGTTCACGTAATTGACATACATTTATATTAAGTGATTAAAACACAATGAAATTTCAAGGTAGCAGAATTCCGTCTTCTGGGACGTGGCACCGTATAGATCTTCTGTAAATGGACGTTTCGGAGGATGGGTGGAAAAAACCGCGAGCGAGGAACCAGCGTGAGCATATGGCTGCTGCCTGCAGACAATATCTACACGGCGCCTCATCCAAGAAGACGGCATTCTTCATAGTCACAGCCGTGTAAACTTCAAATCTTACACTGCAAGGAGAAGCCGCATAATAAGGCTTTCTAATATACATATAATAAAGTATTATTTTTAGTAATAATCTCTTGCGGTCACGCGTTTTATTATTGTATCGAAATTGTTTTTATAATTATAATTAAAAACAAATTACGAATCAATAAATACAATAGCCCAGGGAGATAATTATGTATATTGACCTAATAGAAGTGGGATTAGTTAATGAACCTACATGTTATATGATGCGAAAGAAAAGTATTATGACGCAAGTGAACATGAAGCACAATAGCGCTACAACTGATTTGACCAAATCATTGCCAGAAAACTTCTCCGTAAACACGTTCCAAAACGCAACAATAGATAAGACTGTTTTCTATGTCGTCCGCGCCACTCCCAGTGCTACTAACGAACAAATGAACTCGTAGTTTGACGCGTGATACGTGTTTTCTGTGGGGCCCCTCCCGAAGAATTATATGAGGTTTCAGAATAACTGAGAAGGCATTCCATTAGGGGTGCGTTGAGGGTTCAGTTCGTGAGGGCGGCTATGGAAAAAATGAAGAAAAAGTTAGATGCAAGAGTGCGGCTGTGAAGACATGTTATATATAATACCTGAGGTGTGTAATTCAGTGAGACTGTTATAGTTCCTGTGTTTTAAATCCTTTGTCAGGAAACGAATAGTGAAACTAGTGGAAATAGACTGAGAAGATTAATATGGAGTGATAGTAACAGTGTTATACATGTTTGTATTTACAACCTGTAAGTGGTCAATAAATCCAATTACCAATCCGAACACCGTCTGTAGGCACCAATACATGTGACAGTTTATATGGCTTACAGTCTACATTCTATAAGAATAATTATGCTTACGGTTTGGTCGGTCACTTATATTCACTCTACAGCAACTTTCCTTTTCATTTTATCTTTTTGTTATTCATTCTGTTCTTCTTCGCTTGCTCTTTATTTTTTATTTTTCCTCTTTCGTTCCCCATTATTTCCCCTTCATTTCTGTTTTACTTTTTCTTTCACTTTTAGCCGGCTTCCCTTATGTAGAAAAACAAATGAATGGAGGCATATGAAATCACTTTGCTGTCTATGTGTCTATGTGTCCTCCCCTAACAGTAGTGTAGCGAAATGAGACGGTCGTTCCTAAACAAAGGTTCGATAGACACGTTCCCCTTGCAGTCAGTAACACACAACAACAGAAGTGTTGGACGCGGACTTCTCTACAATTGCTCTCCACGTAGCATAAACTACAGAATTTATAAATTTTTTTCTTTCTCTATCGCTTTTCTGTTTTTTTTTCTC